AATCATATGGTATTTGTCTTTTTCCATCTGACTTATTTCACTTAGTGTAATACCCTTAAGGTCCATTCATGTTGTCAGAAATGGAGAGATTTCATCTTTTTTTAATGACTGAGTAATATTCCACTTGTGACATTTATCTCACATCTTCTTTATTGGTTCATCCATTGATGGACACTTAATTTGATTCCATGTCTTGACTATTGTAAATAATGCTGCGATGAACACAGGAGTGCATATATCTTTTCTTAGTGTTTTTGTTTTTCTTGGATAAATACCCAGAATTGCTGCATGGGGGGTGGTGGTGGTGGTATGAATTGGGAGATTGGGATTGGCATATATACAATAATATGTATAAAATAGATAACTAATAAGAACCTGCTGTATAAAATATAAAATTAAATTTAAAAAAAAGATTAAAAAAATACCCAGAACTGGGTACTTCTAGTCTTAATTTTTTGAGGAATCTCCATACTGTTTTTCATAGTGGCCACACCAATTTACATTTCCATAAAAAATGTATGAGGAGGACTTCCCTGGTGGCGCAGTGGTTGACAGTCTGCCTGCAAATGCAGGGGACACGGGTTCGAGCCCTGGTCTGGGAGGATCCCACGTGCCGCCAAGCAACTAGTCCTGTGAGCCACAACTACTGAGCCTGTGCTCTAGAGCCCACGTGCCACAACTGCTGAAGCCCGTGCGCCTAGAGCCCTGGATCTGCAGCAGGAGAAGCCACCACAGTGAGAGGTCCACGCACCGCAACGAAGAGTAGCCCCCGCTCACTGCAACTAGAGAAAGCCCATGCACAGCAACGAACACCCAACAACGAAGACCCAATGCAGCCAAAAAACCCAAAAATTTAACAACAAAACTATTACAAAAAAAATGTATGAGGGTTTTTTTTTCTCCACATCCTTAACAACACTTGTTATTTCTTCCCTTTTTGATAATAGCCATTCTAACAGGTGTGAGGTGATATCTCATTGTGGTTTTGATTTGCATTTCCCTAATAATTAGTGATCTTAATCATATTTTATCTTTATTTCCAAATCCCTATTTACTTAGAATTTTAGTCCTAAGCTCTGAATCTTCAAAATTATGAAATATTGAAAAAAGTGAAAGAAAACTGACAGATGACTATTGGATTTGTTGAGATGATAGCAGAGATCCATGGTTTTTAAAATCAGTTTACTTGCTGATCCACTTAGTATTTTCTCATATTCATTAGTGATGAATAAAAATGTTTGGATATTTTTACTCTTTATCCCAACCATTGGCTGTTTTAGTACCTTTTTTACTTGAATCTGACATTTTCCTGTTGATTTATTAAATTTTTATGTTCCTCCTTGTGTTAGTTTCCTGTGGTCATTGTAATAAATGACCATAACCTTGGTGCTTAAGATAACATAAATTTATTCTCTCACAGTTTTGGAGGCTGGAAGCCCTAAATCAGTGTTCACTGGACTGAAGTCAAGGTGTTGTCAGGCCTGCACTCTCTCTGGAGGCTCCAGGGAGAGAATTCATTCCCAGCCTCTTCCAGCTGCCGGTGGTTGCCAGCATTCCTTGGCATGTGGCTCCATCACTCAAGTCTCTGCTTCTGTGGTCACACTGCCTTCTCTTTTCCTGTCTGGGTCAAACAGAAAACAGGGACTGGGACCTGATATCTTTAGTCTACTATACCTCCCCACCAAACTGCAAGTTCCATGGGAGCAGAGCCCTTATATGTGTGTGCTCATTGCTCAGAAGAGTTGGGAGCAAGAATGCCTGGCACACAGTAGGCATTCACTTAGTATTTGTCAAAGCAATCATTAATTATAGGGAATCAATTTGAAGAGCTTCCTTTAGAGTCAGGAATTTCTGTTTTATTCCAGAAGTCACATCCAATACCATTAGTTGGAATTTTTAGTGAGAGACTTCAGCTCATTTCAGAAAGAATATTCTAATAACGAGGCCTATCTGTCCATAGTCCAAGTTACTTCATGAGGGAATAAACTCCTTGAATCAGGATATATTCCAACAAAGATTGTTTTGTCACCTGTTAGGGATACTAGAAAATATATTTTAAAGTTAGGTGGGAAGGCGGTTTTACAGATAGCAGACAGGTTTATCTTGTGTAACTAATCTTACTTCTTTCTATCTAAAGAACCCCAATTCTTTTTGAAATTTCCAGAATTCTTATCTAAGGTTTTTTTTTTTTTTACCCCACATCTCGCAGCTTGTGGGATGTTAATTCCCTGACCAGGGATTGAACCCCAACTCTCGGCTGTGAGAATGCGAAGTCCTAACCACTGGACTGCCAGAGAATTCCTTCTAAGCACTTTGTTAAGGTATTAGTTTTAAGACCACTGAAGAAGATTCCCATTTCTCTTTAATTTATATATATATGGCTCCTGGTCTTCAAATCTAATTTTCAACATGGAATCTTGTGATAGATGTGAAAATATGGTCATTAAAAGAACGCAATTGGCTTTTTGTTTCATGTAGCAATACTGTCTCAGGGATGAATCCATATCCAAATAAATGATGTCTCTCCATCAAAGCCGTTGTCCAGGATATTGGTGATTACAAAATGCAAAGTTTGAAATCACACATGAAAGTCACTTAAATGGCCTTAAGTAAACCTAGTTTTTAGCCAAATATTTGTGCCAATTGGGATGTTTTTGTCTGCAAGTAATGGAATACATCACTAAAGTACCTTAGATTTATTCCCCATAACAAGAAGCCTGGAAGGTAGGGTGTTGAAGGCTGTAGCTGCTCCAAGAATTATGTCCTCACCCAAATAATCACAGCAAAGGAAGGAAGGGGGAGAGCCTTCCTTCTGCATCTCTTGTATTCTTTCTTTTCTTCTTTTCTTAAATCAGAGAGGAAAATCTTTCCCAGATGTTTCCCAAAGGACATCCTCTTCTGTCTCATTGGTCAAACTGGGTCACATAACCATTTCCATTAAGAGTGGAAAAGCCAGTTGCTGCCACATTAACTGACCTCATGGACAAGAAGGGGTTAAATCTGTCCTCATTAAAAACAGATTCCTCAACCTAACATTTACAATGGACTTTGCAAAGCTCTTTCACTTAACTTTTTCTTCTAATTCTCATTAACACATCCAGTGATGCAGAAAGTTGTTGGTGGTGATGGTGGTGGTGGTGGGGAGTAGGGAAAGAACTGGGAACTGGAAGAACTGGAACTGGAAGAACTGGAAACAACTGGGTGTCGACTATTGTGGATAACCTTATCTACAGATGAAGGGACTGAAGCTCTGCATAGGAATCCTGTTTAAGATAACCTGGGTAGAAAGCAGTGATGCTCCAATATGGACCATGTCTAATGGTGATGATGAGGGTGCTTATTATATGCCAGGCATTGTGCTATGTTACTTTACAGTGATTACTTCATTTAATTCTCAACCCTATGAAGGAGGTAGTGCCTCTATTTGATAGATAAGGAAATTGTGGCTCAAGGTCACACATCTAATAAGCGCAGGTCTGTGATTAGAACTTCAGTGCTGCTGCCAGGGATGGGTACTTCTTTAAACTGTACTGCTTTCCCATTTGAATTCCCATATTCTTTCCAGGACTATTGCCTCTGAGCTAAGCTTTTTGTGACTTAAGCTTCCTCATCTGTAAAATGACATAATTCTACCTACTTTATAGGGTTCCCATGAGGAGTGAACGTGAATCCACGAAAAGTAATTAACAAGGAGACAAATATAGTAGTCTGGCATTAATATTGTGGAACTTGGGCTTCCCTGGTGGCACAGTGGTTGAGAGTCCGCCTGACGATGCAAGGAACACGGGTTTCGTGCCCCTGTCCGGGAAGATCCCTACATGCCGCAGAGCGGCTGGGCCCGTGAACCTCGGCCGCTGAGCCTGCGCGTCCGGAGCCTGTGCTCCGCAACGGGAGAGGCCACAACAGTGAGAGGCCCGAGTACCGCAAAAAAAAAAAAAAAAAAAAAAAATATATATATATATATTTATATAGTGGAATTTATCTCATTATATTTAAATTTCCAATTATGTCTTTTACCTACGCTACTAGACTGAGATCATCCATCCAGGACAGCAGTTCCCAAATTTTTGAGGCTCAAGGCCCCCTCTACACTCTTAAGAATTATTGTGTACCCCAAATAGTTTTTGTTTATGTAAGTTGTAGCTTTCATTACTGCATCGAAATGAATACTGAGAAATGTTTGCTCCCTTAGCTGTCAGAGTGATATACACATCATGCATCCTCTGGAAAACCTCTACTTATACTTGTGAGAGCATGAACGTGAGAAAGGAAAAAAATTAAATGAATTATTAGGAAAATAGTTTTGACTTTATTGGAACCCTCAGTGTTCCCTGGATCATACTTTGAGAACTGCTGCTCTAGCTTAAGTGCTTCGTGAATGATCAGATTCCGCTGTTTGGACGAGGAAACCCAAGGTCTGAGAGGAGGAAACAAAGCAGCACCAGAGCTACGTTCCACGCCTCGCGCCGCCCGGCAGCCTCGCTGTGCAGCAGCTACGTCCTTAGCAACCGCCCCCTCCTCCACCAAGTCGCCGCTCTTCCCGGGGCGCGAACCCCGGCGCCCACACTGCTCCAGAGGCCCCTCCCTAGCTCGTTCCGCCTGGCAACCTGCGTCTCCGGCGCCCTGAGGCAGGCCCTGCCCCGCTGCCTCTCATGTGTCCTGGCTTCCATGGCAACCGCGGCGCGCGGCCACGGCGTCACCCCACCCTTCCTCCTCGTCGGGCTAAACCATTCGCTTCAGGAACCTTCACAGGGGGAGATGGAAACAAGGAAATTTAATAGAACGTCTGCGCGCTACTCTGACCCCGTTTTTCTACCTAGCTTAAGTTATACACATCTTTTTTTCTCTTGCCAAATGTGCTTGCGAGTGTGGCGCAGTGTCTCGCCTGCTCGGTTCGAACGCCTCCTTTTCCCAGGCCTGCGGATGGGTCGGCCCGCCAGGAAGGCTAGCGGTCTGCGCGGGTTGGCATAGATGCGGGGGAGCGCGCCCGACGTCGCGCTCAGGGGGCGGGGCCAACGCGCAACGGGTAGGGGAGGCGGGCAAGATGGCTTCTGGCGAGTGATTCTGCCCGAATACCTCCGGCGACCGCTGAGACACCGGGACGGGGGGTGCTGCCCCCACTGCTGCCCTTCTTCCTCTCCCCCGCCCCCAGAGACCCCCCTCCTTCCCTTCCTCCTTCTACTTCGGTGGGGAGGGAGGGGAGGTGGGCCTGGTTCCTGGGACACCATGTCGGACTCAGAGGAGGAGAGCCAGGACCGGCAACTGAAAATCGTCGTGCTGGGGGACGGCACCTCCGGGAAGGTCAGTCCTCGAGCGGGCCCGCCGTGCCAGGCCTGCAGGAACCCCGGCCGGTTCTGGCGTCCTCCAGCCTCCTCCCCGCCCCCCCGGCGTCGCCTTATGTCCCCGAGCCCTGGGGCGTCTGGGCTTGGGCCCGCGAGGTCGTGGCCTGGGGTTCGACACTAATAGGCGCTTGGTGAAGTCCGTCGAGAGCTGTCCAGCTCCTCTTAAATTAAAAAAAAAAAAAAAAAAAGTCATTGCCTAACCCCTGCCTGGATCTCGAACTCCTACTTCTTTAAGACACGAGCCAGTATCGTCTCCCTGGGAAGCTTTCCAGCTTCTCGCCTCTGAGGACTGGCAAGGATCTGCCAAGGCACCTTACCTCTTTTTACTTTAGTCCAGGTCACACTTTGCTCCTTTCCCCCCGTTTACCGTTTCTGATGGCTCCACTGTACTGGGATCTCCCAAGAACTTGACGCTGGAATCAGATTCCTTGGGTGAGAGAATTGGGGCTCCATCACTTACTCGTCGGATCATTGGAGGGCAAATTGCTATCCTGTTTGTACTTCATCTGTAAGATGGGTATGTTGATAGGGGTCTCCTCGAAGGGTGAAGTGTGCAAATCCACATTAAATATGAAAATCTACATAAAGCTTTCATAACATGGTGTGCACTCAGTAAATGTTAGTTGCACTTTTAGAGCATCATATTTGTTCATCTCTGTTCCCAGCACAGCACCTGTCAACACAAACATTCATTCAACAAATATCTATTGAACTCCTATTCTGGACTGGTTGCTGAGGGCAGAGCTGCTAACATGACAGAGGGGATCATTGCCTTAAAGTCTGTCTTTCAGTGACAGTTGGTTGAATGAATGAGAGTGAGTGCGTGAGAATATCTGGCAGCCAGTCCCCTTACCTCGTAGGCACAGGTCTTTAACCCAGGGTTGTGGAGCTCCTGAGATGGAATAAACATTGCCCGGTGCTTGCTCTTTGGAGATGGTCCATAAGATCTTAAAGGGTTCTTGATCCACGCCCCAAATAAGGTGAAAAGCCTCTGCCCGGCCAACCTTCACACCTGTCGCTCCTATCAATGGCGCCAACACTGTTTCTGGGAATATTGTTAGAGTTTGTCTCCTTTCTTCTTCCATCCGCTTTCTCAACTAGAGGCTTCAGAAACGCTGGTTATTATTGTTACCAGTTTCCCGTTTTCGGCTTCACGTTTTCATGTTCCTGGTGTAGTTTGGACCCTGGTTCCTATGGTGACGACTGCTCGATACATCTTCCCTGGCAGTTGGCACTGCACAGCTGCTCCTGTCTTTCGTTCTGAGATTTGAGTTCCTAGGGCCCTAGGGAAAGGTGTCATTCATATGCAGGATTTGGAGGATTCTTGTTAATTTCTTTCTTGCCATCCCTGATATTTTGTTATTGATTTTTATTATTGAGGAAAAACAACTTAATATGCTCTGATTACTTTTAAACATTTTGAGGAAGAAAAGAACTTGGGATCACTTTTCTTTATAAAGTATTAATTATATGACTTTTTGTACACTTGTAACAACTTTTTGAATGGATGAGTTGTTTTAAATGAATCAGCATTGTTTCTAACACCCTTATTCAGTAAAAATTTTAAGTTCTATTTTTATAGTTTTCTCATTCGTATTTTCTTTTGAATGTCTTCTAATTTTTCATTTCCTAAATCTTTTTATGGTGAACTCATAACTGAATTTATTTCCTGTTTAAAACTATAATGACTGTCTATAACACTAATACATGTATAAAAAGACACAAAAATTTTCCATTATCTTACATTCTATCATAATTCTTTAAATTTTTGTTAATTTTTTTCCCCAATATTCATCCATTATCATACATGTATTTCTCTGTTGAAATTTGTTCATAATTTCTATCTAGGTTTTTCATCTAGCCTGTCATACATTTTCCTCTTGTTACTAATTTAGTGTGAATAATTATGGTTTTTCATCTCTGTCAAAAATTTTATCTAGTGTACAACAAAGCGTACTTTTTTCCTTCTATATTATTGAATTAGGATTATCATTCTGCTTCAAAGGATAACAGTGATACTGTTTATGGCGTTCTGATTTAGTCTTTGTCACCTTGACTAATCTATTTTAAAATTGTAAAGATTGTTTTCTGCCAGAAATTTCTGGATACCAGCATCAGAAATCTAACCTTTTTTCATTATTCATATATCAACTTTTGTTTTTTTCCATACCCTGTTCAGTTTTCAGATTATTGCCGTATTATTGGCAGCTACCAACATTCCCATTCTGTTTCTTTTACTGTTCTTTTCTATTATGAATTCAGCCTCTCTTTCATTCTTACTTGTATCCTGATTTAACTCCTGGCCATTTTTTCTAGTATCAGTTTTTCTTGCTAGTTCTAACTCAGGGCATTTTTATACACCCTTACAAAAGCAATAGAATATTGAGATGACCACTAACAGTTTATTCAAGAGAAATTTAGCTCCTTTTGCTATTAACACGTGTTTCTGTTTCTTTCCTGTTTTGAGTCATACTTTGGATTTTATTATATACTTCTTAAGATTTTTTTTTTGAGGCAAAATATTCTTTTATGGTGTCTTTTCAGTATTAGTAAATGTAGTATGGTTAAAAATTGTTAGCAAAAGTTCGCCAAACAAAAAAACTATAAAGAATCAGAAAAAAAGAGTTACAGATATGAAAGATGGTTGTTCTCTTCATAATTGTTTAAAAAGGATATTTATACAATGACTTCTGAGAAATTATTGAATGAGAAAGATAGCATAATATCTAGATAATTGAAGAGGATGTGCCTCCTTCCCACTGATTCAGTTGATTCTCTGATTAATTTTTATAGTGAGATGTCTGGAGATGGTATAAGAACCCATTTTAATATTCTTTGTTTGCAATGACCTATACTTTTGACAGATTGTACTCTATTCCAATTGAAAATTCTAGCTTTATGTTTGCCTCAAAAGTGTGAGACTTTCAAAATCTAGAAGTCCGATTTTTAGGAAAAGAAACACTAAGCTGAAGTTACATGTGCCTTGAGTTTGTCTTAGATTTATAAAGGTGTTTCAGCCATCCATATATTAAACATTTTGAAATATCTGTAATAGTATAAGTAGTGTTAATTATTTTTCTCTAGAACTCTGAGCCTCTTCACAGATGATTTTGTGCTCTAAGTTAAATAAGCTCAATGGCATAAACAAGGCTAAATGAAAAAAGGATTTAAAAAAGAATGCTTACTTTTTTTTTTCCCTAATATCTTAGTTTTTATATTATCAAGGAAGCCAAATGAATTTTCATTTTGGTGTAGTGAGTTTATTTCTCAGAGTCTAGCAGAACATCTTTCTTATGGTGCTCAATAAATATTTGACCAAATATTTTAGTGATTTCTTACAAATGCTGAGTATTTAAATATTAAAAGAATTGGCGTTAGTGTGTGCAAATTGCCATTTATATGAAAAATATGGTTCTTATGTCAAAGGGATTTTAGGTCTTTTTGTTTAAAGGAATTGAAGTTTGGCCAAGTTTTCTTTTGCACTACTGTACTTATGTTGTAATTAATTATAGTAAGCTATCTTGGAAATTTTATCTTAGTTTTCATTATTTAGGAATTGACATCTAATTTTAACTTTCAAAATAAGAAAGAGCTATTTTTCCTTAACTTTAGGAATCTGTCTTGAAGAGCATAAAAGCTTCATGAAACTCCCTTTCTCTTCTTTTTGGGGAAGTCTACAAATAAATAAATAATACATTTAAAATGTTTAAGAAGCTTTTGAGTTATTGAGTTATTTCAGTTGTTACTCGATTATTCTTTTGCTTTGGTAAGAAATGGTACCCTAAAGAAACTCTAGAGTTTTGAATGTAACTTAGAGTTGTTATTTAAAAAATGTATATATATATTTGTTCTGGTTATAATATTCTTGTGACTTTTAAGCTTTATGGTTCTTGGATGGAATATATTTATTTTTGTCTGCTTAATATTAAAAATATCAACTTCTTAATTTAAAAGATAAATATTATCAGTCATTCTATAGAATAATTTTCATTTAACAAATTTTAAAAATAAATTTATTTATTTATATTTAATTTTTGGCTGTGTTGGGTCTTTGTTGTGGTGCGGTGGCTTCTCTTGTTGCAGAGCACGGACTGTAGGCGCGTGGGCTCACTAGTTGTGGCACGCGGGCTCTAGAGAGCAGGCGCAGTAGTTGTGGTGCACGGGCTTAGTTGCTCCATGGCATGTGGGATCTTCCCGGACCAGGGCTCGAACCCGTGTCCCCTGCACTGGCAGGCGGCTTCCCAACCACTGCGCCACCAGGGAAGTACAACATTTTTAATATAGAGAAAAATTAGACATGTTTCTTGTGGGGGGAGAAAAGAAAGGAAATTCTATAAACAGGCTTTCCTCTCCTTAATTAGTTCTACTTCTTATTGGCTGAGGGCACAAACTACTCAGATGTTTAACCTCAGAAATGAAACATCTCTGAAAGTTGTATTGAACTGATATATAGGGACATATAAGATTCAGATCTTTAATCATGTTGGTTTAGTTTTCTCTGTTGATAATTCTCAAATTCGAATTTCCAGCAAGGTGTAGGGAGCTTGACAATGAGGGGATTGAAAGAGATTTAGCTGATTAGTCTGTTATTGCCACTGATAGCTGGTTGGCAAGTGAAATTTACCTGGTGGAATGTTAAGTCCCTCTTCCCCTTGTAACTGATTAGAACTGCTTAAAGTTGCTTGATGGATTAATGGGAGTATAAATATTAAGATTACTTAATAAGATTTAGTAGTGATTTTATGTTTACATTTCTAAAACAAAGACATTAATTTTGATATTCTGTGCATCAATTTTTTAGACCTCCTTAGCTACGTGTTTTGCTCAAGAAACTTTTGGGAAACAGTACAAACAAACTATAGGACTGGATTTCTTTTTGAGAAGAATAATGTTACCAGGTAAGAGACTAAAATGTATTAACATAGAAAATTGTCCATATCTGACAATAAGGGACATAAGCAGAAATGTGTAAAATAAATTTTGGGGCTGTTTGTATGTGAAAATATATATAATCAGTAAATCTATCTTAGGGAGGTTAACTTTCATCAGCATCTACCATGAAGACATACTGTCCATGTGTGTAAGGAAAAAGTTTATATTCTCCCCACTCTCCCAGTGTTTCTGACCACTGCACATTTCTTGTGGATAAACAATAGTTGCTTATAAAATTCTAAAGTTAAAAACAAAATCAAATGCCATGTAATTATCAACAGGTATTGTATGAACTAAATGTGAGAAGACTGGAAAGGATTATTTTTTTAAATATTATTTTGATTAACCTCTGCTTCAGTTTTTTGTTTGAGAGAAAGTTGGAACAGAAGTATAATGTAGCTATGGAACTTCTGTGCTCTAATATGTGAATGCTGTTTTATGCAAGGCAGCATGAAATTGCTGGCATTTAATAGACCACTAAAATTTAGGGTCCCTAGGCACTCATAAAAATACAGTTTGAGCATTCAAGATGTTTCAGTTCACCATGCAAAGAAACTATTTAGATGCCAGTTGCAGCACATTTTGTGGGAAATACAGGGAAATAACAAAAAAAGAGTGGTTTCTGTTTTAAGTTAGTTTCTGAACAATTGGGGCTTTAAAATGCTCTGTCTATTCACTTGTGCTTAAATTATATGTTTAAAGTATTTTATTAAAAGCAGTTTATCTTGATTGACTTCATAAACTAGTCCATCTTTCTCCTCTCTGAGGAAACACATTTGAATAAAAACAGTTGCAAGTGTAGTGTCAGATTCATATACTGGAACGTGAGTGATATAGTGGGAAACGGTTTAATAAATTATAATATTTTTGAAATATGTTAACCTCTCAAATGCTCCATCTATCAGACAACTCTATGAATATTTTAGAACAGCTAATGAAAACTCTTGGTAATTGAAGGTATTCTGCATATCTCACTAGTAATATACTCTCTTATATTTTGTGATGGTTGGTATTCGGCTACCAATGAAAAATAAATTAGAAGATATAGCTTGAGAAAAGAATTCCAGTTTGCCATTACTAAGTTATTATTCATAAAGAGGTTTAATGAGAAACGTGTATTTTGTTTCATTTGTATTTTCTTTTAATGTATTCAAAACTGAAAATCTCATTTTTATTATTCTCACTCTTATGGATAGGTTAATACTGCTTTCAGAATATTTACAACAGTCACTAGTAGAATACATGTACAAATCACATAATATACATACTGAAAACTTATTTTGCAACAGTTTTTTCAGAGATGCCAGTTGTACACAGAGAGCCTCAAAGTGTATTTAATTACTGACTGTTTTGTTTTCGATGATAATTAGCAAAAGCACTAACTTTCTATGTTATTAATATTGTTTAATTTTTCTGATTTTTCAGTTAAAAGACTTAAAGGAGCAAGCATCTACGCAAACATTAAAAACATTTTAAGACTGGTTTTGGACATTTTATATATGTAATATATATGATAATTTCTGATTTTTTGCACAATACTACTGATTTTTAAATTTTGATGACTTTGTAAAAAATATTTGGTATTTTTGAAATCCAAATTTATAATATATTTTAGAGTTAGAAAGTACTTAGGTTAAAAATAACATTAGGAAATATATACTCTTAATGAATATATATTTTAATTTTCCTGATTAAGGTTTTATTTTGATGGACAGAGTTCCAGAAAAATATCTTTTTTTATAAAACGGCAGTTGGTTTTATTCTATTTAATTGACTCAAAATTGTGGTAGAAATTTCAGTAAGAAAAAAATTTTTAATGTAACTTGATTTTATATTAATAGCTACATTAAGAAATGAGGTTAATAAATTAAAAGGTTTATATTATACCCTTTATATACTTTTAACTTTAATTCATTGTGTCCAAGGATTAATATTTGTATCATTTGCTAAAACATTACAGGCAGCATTAATTGAATTTATGGTACAGCAGCATAGGAGGCAAATCTAATATTTGTTAGTATTCTAGTAAGTCTTCTGTCCATTCAGATTGTTAGAGGTGTAATACCTCCTGTTCATCTATTGACATTCTCTTCATGCAAGTTTTCAAGGTCATTACTCTGCAAATACTCATCCATGTTAGTATATTTCATGATCTGGTATGCTGTATAGTCTGGATGCAACCACTGTGCAGATTTTACTGCTTAAAATAGTGTATCTGTTAGTCAGAGATTCTGCTGATAGAGCTTCTTAAGAGCCTTAGTCAAAATACTTTCAGGAAGCTTGTGGGTACAGTCAGTAAACAGTGTTCTACTGTGAAAAGGATTTCTAAGTCTTTAGTACAAGAAGTGGGCAGACTTGTGTTTTTAGTTCCATCTTGACTATGCAGCACTTTAAGTAAGGTTAACCAAGGCACCAAGTGTACTTTTACAAGGTCACTGTTGAATCCTCTTGGTGGCTTTGATTCATACCAAAAGCAACTTACCTGTATTTTGTCACCTCATTTATTTATTTTTTTCCCTAGTTAAATGTCATTGCTTACAGAAGAGCAGGAATTTTCTAGTATTTTGCATTTGGGATTAGATTGCTGACAGTTTCCTCCTTAACATTCTTTATTAGTTACAGATTTATATTAGATGGATTCTTGGTTTTTAAAAATTTTTCAATGTTGATTATTTGAAAATTCTTATATAGCTTTATAGGCATGTCATTTTGAAAATATACTGGAAGCCTTCATATGTTTTTGCTTGCAAAAACTAAAAGGAATATTAATTTGAATTCTATATTATTTTGTTTCCCAAATAGGAAACTCCCATTTATTTTTATTTTTATGTGTTAATAAGCCTAAAATTCACATGTGGAAGTTAAAAATACTTTTCTAGATACATGAAATAACTATGAAGTCAATATCATTTGTTGTAGCTATAATGATAGCAAAAGTTTATTTTTTGGCTAGCATTGTGTATTAGTGGGTTATTAGTAGTGCATAGCTATTTTTATCTGAGGCACTAGAATATGTGTATTAAAGAAAAACAAGCCAAGAACAACAAACAGTGTTTATTTGGAAAAGTATGGATTTAAAAAATATCCTCAGCACACAAATATAAACCTCTCAGGTGGGAGATAGTTATAAACGATTTAGAGTCAGTCTTGAAATGATGTAGTCAGAATTTGAAAACATGTAATGAAGATCATGTTTCTAAAGTTACAGATAGGATAGGATCTAAATATCATAACTAAATATCAGAAATTAAAGGAAAAAAGCTTCATATTTCTTGATATGAAGTTAAGTGATAGGATTTATTGACCTTGAAGAAAATGGGATTAAATGCCCTTTATTAAGTGTTGCCTAAAATCTTACTTAAAAAAGTTAATATTGTTGAGTACTGTTTTTTTTAGTAAACAAATAACAAGAATTTTGAGAGTAAAATGAACAGAGTACTGCCTGTTTATCTAGGGGCTTCTGAAACTATTTGATATACTTATAGTGTCGACTAGCCCCTTCTCACCTGCTTAATTTGAGACAGCATTGTAGGAGAATGAATTTTGAGTATCGAAAAATTTAGATTTTTAAGATATTGGGTTTACATAAGTTGTTGCGTAAGTATTAGTCTGTGACGTTTTGATTTTTTTATTCATAGACCTTTAAGAACATTTCGGTCATTACTCTGTGAGCGTTGAAAGTGTGTATATTTGGGAATGATGACGGGTAATGAACTTTAGTAGCTCTCATTAATGCTAATGGAAGTTGCTCATGTAAATCCTCTGCAGGTTGGCAGATGGAACAGACCTACATCCAAATAATGGAAAGATTGTAATACAGACCCAACAAGACTTAGAGTTAAGGGTAAAACTTGGCTGCTTAATCCAGTGTCGTACTTTCTTTTCAGTTGCAACGTTGAATGGTGTGACTAACATTCTCCAGTTTTAGTGTTTTGCATTGGCATAAAAATTCATATCTATATAATCCTTTTCTGGTTTGTATTTGAAGTGAGACTAGTTTCTTAGTGTCTAAGTTTTTGAGTTTTCCTGATTTGCAAATCATTCAGAAAGATACATTTTTGGTGTGGGAGCTCATTTTGAAGGTACTAGTTGAGATTTTGTCTGCCTTTGGAGAAAGCTGCATAATTTTATTAGGAGAAATAGTTTGAAATGTTAAACTGTAAAGCATATCGAACTTGATCTTTAAATTTTGTAATTGCATTGATAATAGAGAATAACATAATTTTTTTAACAAGTAAATATTTTGCAAAATGGACAAAAGAATTTTAAAGATTGCCCTTTAGTATTTTAGAATGCTTTTATATGTTTGTATGGGGAAGAGATTTGTTAGACTATTTTATGAGAGCTTTGAAGCACATATTATAATTTGTTTCAGTGGAACGCTTTGAACAGGTATAAATGCATCATAATATTTAGTGATATACTGGGTATGTAACCTACATCAGTTCTGAAGAGGGCTGTCAAAATGTTCATATTTTATAGGTTAAATTTCAAAACATATAATTTTAAAATTATGTTCACTATTGTATATAGTAGCTGACATTCAAATTTAAAAATTCATTGAAGTTGAAACTGTGGGACCATTTTTGTAGTCTATTAGTAATCTGTGAGTTTTAGAACCTATGGAGTTTAGAACTTACAGGAAAATTCATTATGTGTAATAAGGTACATTAGTATATAAAGTTCACTTTTAATTTTTTTTTTTTTTTTTTTTTGCGGTACGCGGGCCTCTCACCGCTGCGGCCCCTCCCACTGCGGAGCACAGGCTCCGGACGCGCAGGCCCAGCGGCCATGGCTTACGGGCCCAGCCGCTCCGCGGCACGTGGGATCTTCCCGGACCGGGGCACGAACCCGTGTCCCCTGCATCGGCAGGCGGACTCTCAACCACTGCGCCACCAGGGAAGCCCACTTTTAATTTTTAAATTATATATCTTATTCCACATATAAGTGCTTTATTTTATGCTCTGTTTAAGAAAAGAAATTCTTTAAGGTTTAAGAAGTTTGTGAATTAAAGCTTTTTTTATTTTCTTGTGTTTTGAAGGTGATTATAAATGTGGTTTCATGGAAATGGGGTAAAGTGTAAATCTAAATTTCCCACTGTTATCTCTTTTGACAACATTATTTCACAATTCCAAATATGTGACCATGTGAACATGCAGAATAAAAGACAAATTAGGTTCAGAGTTTATCACTGTGACTTAATGTTCTGTGAAACTGTATTCAATTGTTATATTGTTCCTTAACTTTTTTTGTATTCTTAGTTTTATATTCATTTTTTTGTACTCTAGGAAACTTGAATGTTACTCTTCAAGTTTGGGACATAGGAGGGCAGACAATAGGAGGCAAGATGTTGGATAAATATATCTATGGAGCACAGGTATGAAACAAATTGTATGATTATTCCAGTACTGAAGATACTCTCCTTACAAACACACAAGCAGGTACACACACACATACATGCTCTTTCTACCTTGATTTTTATCTGATATGTAAGGAGACTGATTTTACATTTGTGCTAATCCTTTGATTTCATCCTCCCCCAAAATCATGCTTGGAATGATTTGGGTCAGTGAACTGGATGACTCTAATAGCTTTCATATGCTACTTATATTACTAATACTATTATTGTCAGCAGTTGAATACATGCAGTGATAAATTATATTTTGATATTTAGTAACTGATTTGGTTCTATGGACTACTTACAGAATACATAAATTGAATGATAAATATTAGAGAGGAAAATTTAATTTCATTTTAAGTTGTAGGGACAAAAAGCATACATATATGCCTATATATTTTTGTGCCATGAATTAGTCTATTAAATATTTATAGTTCTTCAGATTTAACAGATATATCAATATATTGTATCAGAAAGCTAAATATGACTAATTATATATATGAAGCACATACAGCATTTTAACATGATACTCATGTGTGGTGTCTTTTCAGAAGAAAATCTATGTAGAGTAAGAAAACCACTTGAATGATTATATAACAAAAATTCTTTGGTATATTAGCTTATATAGACATAATTTATAAGTTTTAAAATTAAATTATACAAATAGAAAATATACATAGTAGTAATATGCTTAACAAATTAATTACTGACATGCTGTTACTTTTGCTTTTCTACTTTGAGTTAGTGTGTATCTTTCATATGATCATGAGGTATTGGGGGGATAATATTCATAATCCTCACTTAGTTTTTTATTGGAGTTCGATATTTTAAGTTGAGAATCATAACATGGTTATGTGGAGCTGGGTTGCTCATAAGAAATGAATCTAGAAGATGAAGACAGAATATTAAGCACTCTGCTGTATGAAGTTTGATACTTAACAAATACCATTGCCTTAATTTTGGATGGAAAATAGATTCTGAATTATAAAATATTCAGAGAAGGATGAGGCTCATATGGTTCTTAATCATGTATAAAGGCCCTAGGGTTTTGTTTTTTGCGTTATTGATATATAGATTGGGCTCTGAGAACCTTCTTTGCCTCTTCTTCTACATTGTTCTTTGTCTCCTGGAAAATATTTCTGCTCACTTAACATTTTCAGTTGTGACCATATGACTTAATATTTTATGACTGTTCATTTTTCTCTTAAAAATATTTCTCAGGTTTTTGTGTCTGGCTTTTTCATTGTTGTTTGTTTCTGTTTTAAACTGATTATGTTTAAAGTAGATATTAAGCTAAAGAAAAGTTGCTGGACAGAGATTTGTGGGAAGCCACAGTCCTTGTTTCATTCACCTAGTTGGTAAACTGGGATTTGAAAATAACAATCTCTTTCCTCTTTGCTCCATTAAAATCTATCTTCATAGACACATTGGATTTAAAAAAAATGAAAACTAGATTAGTCAAGCTTCTAATGATATTTGACTCTGAATGTCAAATAGATTAGCTTTTTATGGTTTATAGATATATCTAAAGTTAGTGGAGAATGGGAAGTTTTTATGCATTTCAGAGTAAATAATAATAAAACATTCAATTAATACATTTTTTTCACTTAAAAATTAGGGGAATGTAATGTTTATGGGTTAGACTCTTAATTTTACCTTACTTTAAATCATTAAAAAATTTATTGTTTGATTTATAGAAAATTTAAATTTATTAATATAAAATTATTATATAAAAATTAGTGTTGATATGACAGTCACATAATATAAAATTAACAATTTTTACAGTATATAACCAGTGGTATATAGTACATTCATAATGTTGTGTGACCATCCTGTCAAATCATTTCTTTACAGTGTATGTTTTATGCTATTACATAGCTGCTTAAAGTCAGCAGACATTAATGGGCAAATTTGTAGAAATTTAAAAAAATTCCATCATTTTTGAGGATACTTGAGTTTAGTGAAATGTCTGTTCTTTTCTAATGTACTTCACATCTTGGGAGAAAGAGAATGTCACATGAGATTTCTGTTTCGAAGGTACATGTTGATTTTTTTCTCTTTTGACAGTGTCTTACATTGTTTATACTTTACAATCTCTGTAAATCATATACCCTGTTTTATTAAAAAACAATGTAATAAAGTATTTCTAGGAATTTCATGAACATTTTCATGAAATTGTCCCAGGAAAGTAGGAATTTTGAGATGATAAAATGAGTTGTCATAAATTTTCTCTGCTTTCCAGAGATTCTAAATTAAATGCTATGTAAAATACAGTTAAGTACATTTGCCACTAGTTTCTTTTGTTAAAATACATGTAAATTTTTTACCCAGGCCAGAGAAGCTCAGACTACAGTTCACTACCATAAATTGGGAGAAATGTTACTTTTAAAAAAACAGTGCTTTCATAAACATTTTAATAGCTTTTAATAATTTTATATAATTACATAACTGTTCTTCAAAGTAGATCTATACTGTTTCTAGAGTTGTTGTAGATGCTGTACATTGCCCATCTCACGAATACTTTGGATTTTTGTGCACATGCTACATGACAGAAATCTTTGAGAAGTGTTTTGACAAGCTGTTTTGAGGACATCAGTATAATGTCTTATTTAGGATTTTGTTTTAGGTTCTCTAACTTATGTAATGTGTATGGAAAGAATTATCTTACACATATCTGGGCTATTAAGCTATGTGAATTCATTTTTCTAAAGCATTTCTTATCCAGGAAGAAGCTTATTTGTAGGCTGGAATTAACTTAGCTTCAAATAAAACTGATTATTTTACCCTCTTCACTTTTTCCCCACCAGTTGCATTAAATTTTAGTGATAGTATATTGAATAGTGTTGGTTGAAACAATATTGAATAGACACCGAAGAAAGAATTAGTGAGGTATTTTGTCAGAAACTAGTTCTAAGAATTGAAGTATATCCCAGTTAAATTCCCAGAGTTTAAATTAACTTAAAATTTTCTAGGAGTCTTCAGAAAGATGTTATAGGCTATTTTTCATAGTGGTTACAAGCAAACACACAGTGCATAGTGTTTAGTGCCCTGTAACCTGTGGCTAACAGAGGCTAATAACAAGCCTCAGAGAAGGACTGGATGTTTCATTTTTGTAGCTCTTTCCGTCCTGGAATCTAAGTGGTTTGCAAACACTGCCCTACTGAGTATAAACTCAATGAAGTGTACTCATTTGTGAGGTAGAACATAACTACTATTGTGTACCAGTGCCCCACACAGATGAGCCACCCTGTTAACCACCAACAAAAGCCTGTGGTGCCAGTATGACAACTGGGGAGAGAGCATATCTCAAAGTTGGACTCCCTGAGACTCTCTGCTGTCTTTTACCATGAATTTTTTCATTGGATATTTGTCAACTTATAACTTATTATATTTACAGACCTCTCTTGCATTAGTGTTCCTTCTTACAGGTTGTACTTATACAGCAAAGTACAGTATATGTTGTTATGACTATTGTATAATCTATATGATTTAATTCATTTCTATATATAATTAAGAACTAAAGTAGATTATTTGTTGTACAAATCAAGGAGAAAAAAATACCTGTATTTTGGAAATGGGTAACTTTCACTAAATTGTATGTACTGTATCTGTTAAATTTTAGAACTAAATTTTGAAATACCCTATAATACTGTTAAGTGTTGCCACAGTGTTTGTTCCTTCAAGACTGCTGTCAGTTATTCCTTTGAAAATGGTATCCATTTGGTTTACTGACTCATCATGCTTACTAGATATGGTGATAAGTGAAATAGATGAAAACAAAGTACTATATAATATTATGTAATATTTACTAAAAGTCTTAAGGTTTATAAAGAGAAGGGGTGGTAATATCTTTTGGCAGTTGCGGGGGCGAGGTGGGGAAAGCGAAGTTAAGGCATAGAAGATGGAGGAAATTTTTGTGAAGAATTCAAAGATGTAGAAGGATTTATTAAACTTGAAGTCTCATTTCCAAAAGTCATGGCAGAAAGGTTTAGAAAGAGGAGCAGGTGGAGGGTAAATTAGGAAGAGGAAGCACAGGACAGTATGGGGATGAAGACACAGCAGAAGGATAAATGGTGGATAGGTGATAAAAGAGGGTATCAGGGGCTTCCCTGGTGGCGCAGTGGTTGAGAGTCCGCCTGCCGATGCAGGGGACGCGGGTTCGTGCCCCGGTCTGGGAGGATCCCGCGTGCCGCGGAGTGGCTGGGCCCGTGAGCCATGGCCGCTGGGCCTGGGCGTCCGGAGCCTGTGCTCCGCGACGGGAGAGGCCACGGCAGTGGGAGGCCCGCGTACCGCAAAAAAAAAAAAAAAAAAAAAAGAGGGTATCAGGGACATGAGATATGGTGGTGGGTTTGGATGGCCACAAGATTGCCAAGAAACAGTTATTTCCAGCAGTTCCCCGTAGATTCTTCTTAGACTTGAGTTGTTGCCAAGATGTGTTGCATTTCCGAGGGAGTTGTACTTTCTGATAGTTTTTTGAAAGGAATCAGAAGAGAACTGGAGTGATTGATGGGGTGAGAGACTCAGGGGTTTGAGGGTACTTATATTATAGGCTCCCAAAGAGATGAGTACTTAGAGGTCTGGCTTTGGTGTGCTGAAGCTGGTGGGTAGAGTCCCTGAGAGTCCATGGCAGCTTGTATGAGTTTTGGTAGTTTGTGTGTTTCAAAGAAGTGGTTCATTTCATCTTTGTTTTCAAATTTTGGGCTATGGAGTTGTTCATATTATTCCTTCATTATTTTTTTAATGTCTGTGGGAATCAGTAGTCATGACCCCTCATTAATTCGTGCCTTCTCTTTCTTTATCTTTCTGTCTCTCTGACTCTGTCTCTGTCTCTCTTTTTGGTTAATCTGGCTAGAGGTTACCAACTTTTGGTTTTTATTAATTTTCTCTGTTGTTTTCCTCTTTCCAGTTTCATTGATCTCTGCTCTAATTTTTATTATTACTATTTTTTCTGCTTGCAGTAAGTTTACATTGCTCTTCTT